CCAGATATTCTTGGACTACAACTCCCAGAAGCCTTCACCACCACCTCTGCTGGCCAGGATTTCTGGGCCTTGAAGTCCAAGAACATCTGGAGGCCCAAGGTTGGAGACCACTGCTTTAGAACACAGCCAAACAGCCCGAAAAACCCACAACAACCATCAGTACTGTTGTTGTTGCTATATGTAGGGATTTTCATTTTAATACATTGGAGCATTTAGTCATGAGACCCCTTACCTTCAGTCTGGATTTGCAGTGCTTGAGAATGATTTTACTATGTGATTCGATATTTGTTTAAAACGTATGTTTTGTTGTTGGTCTTTTGGCCTATTAAAAAAATTCAAATGTTCCCAGGTTTTTTATTCCAAAACATAATTAAAGAGATTTCAAAACAGTTTAGATTCTTTATTGTAAAAATGATACCTGGAAATGCTTCTTGTGTGATTCACTGTTAATAATATTTCACTTTTCAGACTGACGCCTGCTCTGGACTACAAGGATTCCTGATTTTCCACAGCTTTGGAGGAGGCACAGGTTCAGGCTTTACCTCCTTGCTGATGGAGCGCCTCTCTGTGGACTATGGCAAGAAGTCCAAACTGGAATTTGCCATCTATCCGGCCCCACAGGTTTCCACGGCTGTGGTGGAGCCCTACAATTCCATCCTGACCACTCACACGACCTTGGAGCATTCCGACTGTGCCTTCATGGTGGACAACGAGGCCATCTACGACATCTGTCGGCGCAATTTGGACATTGAGCGCCCCACTTACACCAACTTGAACCGCCTCATCAGCCAGATCGTTTCCTCCATCACCGCTTCCCTGCGCTTTGATGGTGCCCTCAACGTAGACCTGACGGAGTTCCAGACAAACCTGGTGCCCTACCCTCGCATCCACTTCCCGCTGGTGACCTATGCGCCCATCATCTCCTCTGAGAGGGCCTACCACGAGCAGCTATCTGTGGCCGAGATCACCAGCTCTTGCTTTGAGCCCAACAACCAGATGGTGAAATGTGACCCTCGCCATGGAAAGTACATGACCTGCTGCATGCTCTACCGTGGCGATGTGGTGCCCAAAGATGTGAATGTAGCCATTGCTGCTATCAAGACCAAGAGAGCAATCCAGTTTGTGGACTGGTGCCCAACTGGCTTCAAGGTGAGCACAGAGACTCCACTAAGCAGAAATAACAGAGGGGCTCTGGAATGCAGCAGGGTTAGCTTATCCTATTTTGGGATGCCCTCAACATGGGTCAAGAGAGTCATATGATAGGCAGTATTATCTGAAGGGCTCCTCAACCACTAACATTATGATTCTAAAATGTAAAATTACCACACCTGCACCATTAAGTTAACCTGTGACAATTTAGGCATATTCTTTTTTAAAAAACACTAGTCAAGATCTTGTTGCTTAGTGTAGTAAATCTCACTAGAGTAGGCTCATTGAATCAATAACACTTATAAGGAGTTGACTCACTAAACTCCCATTAATTCAGTGGCCTACTATTATAGTTTTGGTTGCTTTTTCTCATATTAATGGGTCTTTTAAAAAATTCTCCAGCTTCAGCAATTCACTTTCAACATGAGGTGGTCTTGCATATATTGTTATTGACTTCAGAAACTGGAAAGCTAGCTGGATAGATCAGTTGTTTAGGTAATTTGAGATGTGTGGGAACTTCGTGTGTTTAAAAAAATGTGCACCAGAAACACAATAGCTGGCTGATTAGCTCAGTGATTTAGGTATCTGGCTGTGGAGCCGGAGGTTAAGGGTTCAATTCTCCACTGTGCCTCTTGCAAGTAGAGCCAGTCTGGGTAGCCTTGGGCAAGCTGCACAATCTCAGGGTGCCTCCAGAAGAAAGGAATGCAAAATATTTCTGAGTATTCTCTGCCTAGAAAACCCTGAAAAGGGTTGCAATAAGTCAGAATTAATGACAGCACATTATTATTATTATTGTTGTCGTTGTTGTCGTCGTTGTTGTTGTCGTTGTCGTTGTTGTTATTGTTGTTGTTGTTCATTTCTTTGACATTGGGCAAGTGTCTCTATGGTGTTCTAGAAAGTCCGCGCTGATTTTAGCCTATATAATTTTGAATTAGCTCAGTGGTAAGGTGACTTCACGGGGACGTGGTGGTGCCGTGGGCTAAACCGCAGAAGCCTTTGTATGCTGCAGGGTGAGAAGACCAGCAGTCGTAAGACTGAATCTACGCGACGGAGTGAGCTCCTGTCGCTTTGTCCCAGCTCCTCGCCAACCTAGCAGTTCGAAAGCTTGCAAATGCGAGTAGATAAATAGGTACCATCTTGGTGGGAAGATAAACAGCATTCCGTGTCTAAGTCACACTGGCCACGTGACCACGGAAACTGTCCATGGACAAACGCTGGCTCTACGGCTTGGAAATGGGGATGAGCACCGCCCCCTAGAGTCGAACATTACTGACTTAATGTCAAGGGGAACCTTTACCTTTTAAGGTGACTTCCCTAATATTAACCCAGCTAGCCATACCGAAACCTTCTTGTTAGGGTAGAAATAAACTTATTAGCTTTCATGTGAGGTTTCCTCAAGACCACAAACTGTCACTGTTGGTTTGTTTTTAGCATTATTAATACTCCAGTTGACAAAATAGAGGATCTTGCAACTGCTTTTTTTTAAATTAGGTGTTTAGATCTTTCCCATGAGGCTGTATGGGAGGAAAAAATGAAAGTAGAACTCTTCTAGCCCTCTCTTGCAATCTGTGATAGCAGAAGTGCTAAAGCGTGTGTTGCTGTCTATCCACTGTCATCTACTCTGAGCACAAAAGCTGGTCTCACAAACCATTCAGGCAGAAAATAGCAAGCAGTGCCAGCCCTACCATTAAGCAGGATCAGGCAACTTCCTCACGTGACCGACGCTTAGGTCTTGCAAACTCAAGAGTCAACCCATCTCATATTTGCTTTCTTTTTTTGCTTTTCCTACTAACTTCAACTTTTCTCCAAATTCGACAAGGCCAAATATTTTGGTCTCTGACATGAACTAGCCAAACCAGAGGTCTTGTTTACAGGATACCTGCCAAACCCAGATATTAGATATCCCTATTACCTTCTGTTTTTGAAGAAGGCTCAGAGACCCAAGACCCTACTTGCCCGGCTAGCTGATTTTATTTCTTTATACCACGAGGAAAGTGAAATCCTGGGCCCTTGGATGCTGACCTGCTCAGAACGAAAGATGAAAAGTAAACACTCCAGTTTCCTCCAACACTTGCTAGAGTACTATTTGGGTACTTGTGCCATTTTTACCTTTAAAAAGAGAAGCCAAATTAATCAGATAATTTGAACTCTAGCCCCCAAAATGGTAAGCCAGAGCATAGTGGCAAATTCACAAAACTGGGTCAGACATGGCTCTCTCCCCCCTTCCTCCTCCTCCTCCATTTCTACATCCAGGTCCCCAAATACTTTGTGCTGAATACATTAGTCCCACCAAACTGTTTTTTCCCATTTTTTTTTTACCTTTAAAAAGAGAAGCCAAATTAGTCAGATGATTTGAGCTCTAGTCCCAATGGTAAGCCAGAGCATAGTGGCAAATCCACAAAACTGGGTCAGGCATGGATCTCTCCCCCCTTCCTACCCCTCCTCCTCCATTTCTACATCCAGGTCCCCAAATACTTTGTGCTGAATACATTAGTCCCACCAAACTGTTTTTTCCCATTTTTGCTTGGAAGGGACACCAACTAAATTCAAAAGACCAGTTTCCTGAAAACGTGCATAGGTTTCCAGATCTACTAGCTAGATTGGGTTGGAACAGTGTGGGGTGGGTGTTATGTGCCATTAAATGGGTTTGGACTTAACAGCCACCCTAGGAGGGTTTCCAAGCTTTTTAAAATTCCGTGTGAGTTTCCATGGTTGAACAGGGATTTGAACCCAGATCACTTGAGTCCTAGACTATCAGTCTCTCCACTACATCACACTGAATCTCAAAATGGGGAAAAGGTAAGCCTATGTCAGCCAGGAGCTCTGTGGGTGGAGGTGGGGTTGTGTGGGTCTTGGCCTTCACCTGTATGAATAAGGTAAGGCAATGGTGCATTAAAAGCTTCATTCAGAAGCATTCAACGTACAGTATATTTCACCATAGATACACTAATTGATAGAAGGAGATTACTTCATACCCATGGAGAATTGTGGCCAAAGACAATTTTAAGTCTTTACCATAGGTTCAGGCGTTGTGTCACTTTAGTCCAGTGATTCCTCATTTGGGGCTTTTAGATGTTGTTGGACTACCACTCCCAGAGTCCCTGACTATGAGCCAGTTGGCTGTGACTTGTAGGAGTTGAAGTCCACTAACACTGGGGAGACCCAAAGGTGGGAACGGCTGGTTTTAGTTTTTTACTTTCTGTTTCATTCAATTAAAATGTGTTGATTTGAGCTCACACAAGTTCCCCTCCCTGCTTTGCTGTTCTCTTTCTTCTAATCCAACCAGGTTGGCATCAACTACCAACCCCCTACGGTAACCCCTGGAGGAGATCTGGCTCAAGTGCAACGGGCCGTCTGCATGCTTAGCAACACGACCGCCATTGCTGACGCCTGGGCAAGGCTCAACCACAAGTTTGATCTCATGTTTGCCAAGAGGGCCTTTGTCCATTGGTATGTTGGGGAAGGCATGGAAGAAGGGGAGTTTGTTGAAGCTCGAGAAGATCTGTCTGCCCTGGAGAAGGATTATGAGGAAGTGGAAACTGACTCATTTGAACCAATGCTTGACAGCGAGGAAATCTAACAATTTGCTCTTCTCTGTACACCAAACAGTCTCTTGTCTTTTGTTTCCTATACATCAGGAAGTTCTCTGGTACAACATATGTTTAAATGAGTGGGAAACACTTAAGAATAAAGCAAATAGAAAGCAGGGGAGAATGGGAATATGTGTAATGCAACTGGATATATTCTTAGAGATCATGTTTCTGCCGCAATGTTCTGCTGCAGAGTTGTGTAAGGTGTGTGTATGGCATACTAGGGAAACAATGGTTTTTCTGCCACTCTGGTGCAGTTTTCAAAGAGGTAGTCCCATCAAGGTATTTCAGCATGTATAACAAAATTGTAATCCTCGAAAGCTCACACTGAATAAATCACTTAGTCTTTAAGGTGCTGCAGTACTTTTTTAAAAAATTTCAGCATGTATAACAAAATTGTAATCCTTGAAAGCTCACACTGAATAAATCAGTCTTTAAGGTGCTGCAGTACTTTTTTTTTTTTTTAATTGTTCTGTTTTTGTTATTCTGTACTACAGTTTTCACTTCAGACCCCTGTGCAAGTGGCTGGTACAAAGTGTGGCAGGCATACTGACGATAGTGTTGTACCAGATGTCAGATCTGGCTATAGTGACACATGCCTTAGTTACATCCTGTTTGGATTACTGTAACGCACTCTGTGTGGGGCTGCCTTTGAAGACGGTTCAGAAACTTCAGCTGGTGCAAAACTCTGCAGCCAGACTGCTGACTGGGGCCAGCTACAGAGAGCATGTAACACACCTGCTATAAGAACTGCACTGGCTACCAGTCTGTTTCCAGGCCCAGTTCAAAGTGCTGGTCATTACCTATAAAGCCCTATACAGCTTAGGTCCAGGCTACCCGAAGGACTGTATCTCCCTATATGCCCCTTCTCAGCGTTTAAGATCAGCAGAGGAGGCCCTCCTCTCGGTCCCATTGGCAGCACAAGACCAGCTGATGTAGACAGGGCCTTCTTGGTGGCAGCTCCCAGGTTAAGGAACACTCTCCCTCGGGAGATCAGGACAGTCCCTTCCCTGTTATCCTTCTGAAAAAAAAAACTAAAGACCCATCTCTTCAGGCACGCTTTTAACAATTAAAACTGAATCCCTGAACCCCATTTTAGCAGATAATTTTGATCTTTCCCATGTTTTAACGTTTTAATTTAATTTTTAACTCATATATTGTTAAATTTGTCTTTTAATATTTAACTTATTGTGTTTTTAAATTGTGTGAATTTTAATGCTGTGAGCCACTTTGAGTCCCTTGTCGGGAGTATTGCGGCATATAAATAAAATAATAATAGTAACAATTGTACAATGGGCCCAGAACTAGTAACGTCTGGTCTGTCTCTTTGTTTCTTAATCTTCCAAAACCCCATGCCCTCTTGCGATAAATACAAAAGCCTCAATGACCCCATTTAAACCTGCCTCCTCCAGTAATTTTATCTGCAATATCATGATTAAAAACAACTCAAAATGTTAGTACATTTATGCGGGGAAACTCATCCCCCCCATCAAGATCCTATTGCTAACCTCAACTCAGGTGGAACCATTGAATCAATTACTGAATGTGAGTCATCATTCATGTAAATCACATCAGGTGACCACGTTTACTCTAGTTGGGACTAATAATAGAATATTGGCCTTTGATCTTCAGTGGTTTTTTTAAACACAGAGTGCAGTGCAATTCTAACAAAGTCAAGTAGGGGAATTCCACATCAAAGACAATGCAATAAAGTGCATACAAAGGAAGCAATAGGTATAATTATTTTCCAAATAAAAATGTTAATACTTTTAAATTGGTGCTTTCAAATTACACATGCTTCCTTCAATCCAAATGGAGAATGTAGCCAAAAAAACACCAGAAGAATGAGACTCAGAAGGGCAGCAATGAAGGAATTAGAAAAGATCATTACCTGTAAGGATGTGCCAGTGGAGACCAAGATAATCCAAATTATTGTATTCCTGATCACTATGAATGGGCACAAAAGCTTGACAATAAAGAAAGCGGACATGGGAAAAAATGGCTTCATTTGGAATATGGTGCTGAAAGAAAGCTTTTCTGGATTGCTAGAAAGATGGACAAGTGGGTCCTAGAGCAATTCAAACCTGAACTATCTCTGGAGGCAAACATGATGAAACGGAGGCTATCATGATTGGAGCACATGAGAAGGCAAGATTAACTGGGGTTAAAAACACAATAATGCTGGAAAAGGTGGAAAGCAGGAGGAAAAAAGGAGGACCAAATACGAGTTTACAAGAAATGAGCAGGACTGTTGACATGAAAAGGAAATTTCAGCAAGAGTATTTTGCATTAAAAGCTCCACCTGTTGAAATTGAAATTGCTTGTCCTAAGCAACTATTAAAGGTATAGGAATTTTTTTTTTCTGCCCATGGGTATTTTTGCAGTATTCTTTGTCCATGAGGTCAAACATGGTCCTTTTTGGATTACAGATTCCAGCATAGCCATACTGGCTTGAGAATTCTTGTTTGTTGTAATCCTCAGTAAAGGGACCCTTCCACATTCTGTTTCAGATTAAGGCTTATCGGAGAAATTCAGGTTCAAATCTCTACAAAACCATGGAATACATCGCATCCTCTCATGCCTGCCAGGCTCCTGCACCCAAAGATTGTGAAAGTAAAAGAGTGCATGGTCCTGTATCTTTATACAGAAGAGGGAATTTCATTAGATCTAGCTTGTGTAAATAATTGGTTAATTAGGTGCTGTCCAGTAAATTCGGCCTTAAGGGAAGCTTCCTAGGGTTTTCTAGGTATAAAATTCTCAGAAATGGTTTGCCAGCCCCCTCCTTCTGCTGGTGATGTGGAAATTTGCAGCTTGCCCATGGTTGCCAAGGTGACAGGGCATGTAAGCCCATCAGCCACACATTCTAAGTCACCTTGGCTGGCCTCTCTCCCAGGTGGTGTAGAGGGGATTTGAACCCTCAATTCCTGGTTCCACAGCCAGGCATCAGAAATCATTTCCCCTTTTACATTTGACCACCCAATCTCAGGTAGATCTACCTCATGGTATTATTGTAAAGATAAGTCAGGCAGAAGAGCCATCTCTCCTCTGAAAGGAAGGAAGGATATAAACCTAAATAATTCGTCTTTGAAAGGGACAGCTGCTCTTTAGGGCTGCAATGCATACAGAAGTTCAATCCTGTCTAGGCATTACTTTGGCTCGAATGTGTGTGTAGTGGGGAGCAGAGTCTGGATGAAAATGTTCCAGCGGTTAAATGTAATTAGCCAAGTATATCGTATCAGTGCTTTCCCTCTTTAACTCAAATATTTACAACTTCAAGCTAATTACAAATTCAAGCTAATACTGTATTTAAAACTTCAAGCTAACCATCATGCCTCAGATCCATTAACACAGCAAGGCTAATTTGTCATTAATTTAAAAAAAATGAAATGGGAGAAAAGTAATCTAAAATAAAAACAGCTTCAAGTTACTGATGAGGATGGAAACCAAACTCTTTGTTCAAATCTACTCTAAAAGAGGAAGACAGTGGAAGACAGGAGGGCCTGGTGTGCTCTGGTCCATGGAGTCACAAAGAGTTGGACACGACTGAACAACTAAACAACAAAAAAAGAGATTCAGCTCTGTTATTACAACAGTAGATGTCATTTGTAAAGATTCGATTGGAAGGTATGAGGAGAGAGGATTTCTTGGTGGCGGCAACGTAGTTGTAGTATTTTTCAGTGGGCAGGGTGGTACTCATTGGGGCGTTTCCTCCTTTGCATTCAGAAGGTTCCAGGTTCAATCCTGGGCATTTTGAAGTAAAGTTGGGAGAGAATCTGGTCTGAACCCTAGAGGGACTTTGCCAGTCCAGCTGACAATGTTGGGCTAGATGGATCAATAGTCTGTCACAATGAAAGGTAGTGAGCTCCTTGTATTCTTCTCCCTGATGAGACCTGCCAAACCTTCTGTTTCCAGATGGATGCTGCAAAACATTTGCTTCTAGGTCATTTGCAAGTTTTATGTTATCCCCTTCTGATTTTTAATTCAGGACACCACACTTTAAGAAGGATGCCAACAAACTGGAACAAGTTCAGAGAAGAGCAAAGTGAATGATTTTTTTTGGGGGGGGGAATGGAAACCAAGCTCTATGAGGAAAGACTGAGAGATCTGGGTATGTTTAGCCTTGAGAAAAGAATACTGAATGTAGATAGAATAGCACTTGTCAAATACTTGAAGGAGTCATACAGAGGAGAGACAGGATCTGTTCTGGATCATCCCAGAGAGCAGAACACATAATGATGGGCTCAAGTTACAGGGAAACATATTTCAGCTAAGTGTCAGGAAAAACTTCTTAAGTGTTAGAGCAGTACAACATGGGGCCAATGATCTTGGAAAGTGGTGCATGCTCCAATGCTGGAGTCATTCAAGAGAAAATTGGACAACCATCTGTCAGATCTGCTTTGATTTGAATTCATCCACTGAACAGGAGATTGGACTTGATAACCTTACAGACCCCTTCCAACTCCATTATTTTATGATTCTATGATTGATGTAGCTGGTTTTGTCTTTGTTTAATGTCATTATCTTTCAGGCTTTGTTTTGTTGTTGTTTCACTTGTTGCTTTTTCCATGTTTTGGAAAAAAATGTGCAGGGATACATAACGACGCAAGCAAGCAAAACTTAATGCTATTTCATGGCCATATTTTTTTCACACCATCATTGATATTGGATCTATTTCTCTTTTTCTTTTCTGTATATGTGCTAGAGCTTCAAATTTGGACCAGGTGTTTTGTTCCGTGGAAAAGGGATGAACTTGACAGCAGCTATATGACTGTATGTAAAAGGCTGGTGATGTAACTAAGTGAGGGTGGGTGGGTGACTCTTGGGAATTGTGACCTCTTTCCTCCTCTACTCTATGACACTGAAGGGCCAGAGCAGGTGGCTGGTGCTGGTCCCACCTCTCTTCCTGCCCTACAGCTCAGAGTGAGACAGCAGAAAGTAGCGGAGAGGAGAGAAACGAAGACTTCAGAGCTGACCAAGAAAGGAAGTGAGAACCAATCAAAACATTATGGTAAGAAGGGAAAAGGAAACCTATTGAGAATGAGGGGAAATGATAGTATCAGTCTGCTGCTTATTCGTTCGATGGTCACCCTTTATAAACAAGCAGATGAGGGATAATTTTAGACTGGACAGTTTATTGGGTAACACTTGGTTAAATGTTGACATGTTTTGGCACTGACATACAGCAAGCAGGCTTCTCAAGTAACCAAAAGTGTGTTCCTACACATCCTTATGTGACATCCCACTAAAATCAGGCAGCCTTACTTCTGAGTAAACATATCTAGGTCTGATGAATGCAGAAGACAGAAGAAGTTACTTGGATGTGTATAGGGTGAAATTTATATCACCTGCCATCCCCATTTTGCAGATGGAGATGAAAGTAAGGACTAACTCTGTTTCAGTTCATAGCCTTGGCAGAATTTCAGGCTTAAGACTTCCAGAGTGAATGACTTACTATGTCTTAGCAGGTAAATTATCCAGACTATGAAGCTTTAGCCCATTCCTTCAACTCCCTCCACTATCACTATAATGGTCGTTTATTACAGCCTAGGAACCGAAGCTACGAATTGCAGTTCTTTCAAGGACCTCCAGATGTCCTACAAAGTGTTATATTTTTCAGGCCTTTTAGAATGTAAAAAAAAACATTATACAGTTCTTGGGGAGAAGTGAAACAATTAATTTCAACCCAGGTTCAATTTGCAGCCTACAGGTAGAATTTAGTGACACTGAGAAAAATGCCTTGAGAGAATAGCAAAAGTGCTGTCAGAGAGGGCTGCAACTCAGTTATACAGCACATGCTTTGTTTGCAAAAGGCTGTGGTGGTCAAATCCTGCAACTTTCAAATAAGACAGAGAAAAACTCTTTGAAATCAAGGAGAGATGTTGCAAATAGTGTAACTAATGCAGAGTTGGTTGTACTTTCTCAGTGCTGAGGAAAAGTATTCTGCAGATGCTCAGTTCTATGCATTTCTGTTATTACTGTCCATAACTTGAATGGTCTCCTTGCTTGAGTGGAATGAATACTGAAATATATGATCACGGCCAATGGTTTATAGTTTAACGTTGATCGTTTGTTAGAATTTATCATGAGCTAATATTTTTATGATTATACTATCTATTTTGAAGATACGAGTATAGCGAAACAAGGGTAAAAGGTGTAAAAGAACACAACTGCATTTTAAGGGATAACGTATATAAGAAGGACACATAAGAGGGAAATATAGGTAACCCTATACTTGACCTTGAATGTGAAAACTAAATTATAAAAATAAAAACAAATCCTGACTCCCAGGAATGATAGAAACACTGGTGGTTAACTCCATTTGTATACTTGTGGCTAATTGTGGATGCTTCCATAACTAATTTATTCTGATTCCACACAGCCACTAAAGTGGAACCATTCATTTTGGAAGGCCAAGGCCACTAAAATTTTGCTCTGTCCTGAATATCCATCTCAGTCTTGACCTATGACCTTCACATTGGGATGCCAGTTTGCCACACACTCAAAGACTTGATCATCCTGTTTGGGAACCACAGCTTTCTTATTACTATTAAGAGCTGTGGCTGATGCCTTCCTCTCTTCCTCACAAGCCTAGAGGTACTTGAAAGATACCCATCCACTTATGACCTCAGTTACTTCCTGGCCTATAGCTTTGATTATAACCCCTTGACTTCACTCAAAGATTGCTGGTGGAAGAGTGGATCTTGATAGGTATACCTCTACAGTACTATGTATGTCTGTTCTAGGGTTGTTGTTGTTTAGTCATTAAGCCATGTCCAACTCTTCGTGACCCTATGGACCAGAGCACGCCAGGCACTCCCCGAGTTTGGTCAAATGCATGTTGGTAGCTTTGATGACACTGTCCAACCAACTTGTCCACTGCCGTCCCCTTCTCCTCTTGCCCATACATTTTCCCAACATCATGGTCTTTTCCAGGGAGTCTTCTATTCTCATGAGATGGGCAAAGTATTGGAGCCTCAGTTTCAGGATTTGTCCTTCCAGTGAGCACTCAGGGTTGATTTCATTCAGAATGGATCGGTTTGTTCTCTTTGCAGTCCAGGGGACTCTCAAGAGTCTCCTCCAGCACCATAATCAGCTTAGTCTATTCTACGGTAGTGGTTCCTAAACTTGGCTCCCCAGATGTTCTTGGACAAAAACTCCCAGAAGCCTTCACCCCTAGCTATGCTGGCCAGGATTTCTGGTAGTTATTGTCCAAGACCATCTGGAGAACCAAGGCTGGGAACCTTTCTTCTAAGGTGACCAGAGAACAAAAACTTCAAATTTCTTGTACAATAGTTGGGTCGAAAAGGACATTTCAGCAGGTGCAGGTACCATGAAAAGCTCTTCTAAAAAACTAGTAAAGACATTAATCTATTTTCTTTCCCCCCCTCTAATCACCTTAGTCTATTCAGAAGTTATGGCTGTAGGGGATATGATCTAAAACAGCAATTTTTCCAAACTCTGCTCAGAAGTAAATCCTGCTGGATTTTTAAGAGGTCCTCCTTACACAAGGATATAGGCACTGAATGCAACCTATTCTTAGAAGCAATAATTAGAACAGCATTTAATTTCTACCAGATAAGCCATCTGTGACGATTCCCTCTATGAAGCACCTACGTACGTTTTGTGCCCTCACGAAGGTTCCAGTCTTTGTTTCCCTCACTGCCCCCAGTGGATTACCTCTATCTACAGTATAAAAGACGTTTGTCCAAACACTTGTTTGGTAAATGCAAACAGAACTTATTTATTGAAGTGTAGCAAAGTTAATAATAATCACAGATGTTCTACAGTTGTTCATTGTATACAAGCAAATCATTCACAGGTCTCTCTATACATACTTTCTTCTTGCCATATAATTAATTGCCTTCTCTTTCTATTTATCTTAACCAGTCTCTCTCTCAATCTCTATCTCTTCTGCCTGTGCCTCTAACTCCCTCTCTCTCACGCTTGACTCTTGACTGACTTGACTCCTCCTCTCAGGCTCCGCCTTTTAATCTTTCTCTCGCTCTCTCGGCTCCGCCTTTCCACCATATTTGCCTAGAACATGAATAATACATGACTTATTTTGCATAACAAAAAGGTGAACGCTACACCATCCTTTTTAAAAAAATAGCATTTGTGACAGTGTGACCAACAACAAGAACATTGCCATAAATATAAGGCAGTGTGGGGAGCTACATTTATATGAATGCTGCTTTGGTATTATTCAGTCCAGACAGCACTGCTCTGTGGTTTAGGTATCTGGATGCAGAGCCAGAGGTTGGGTGTTTGATTCCCCAACTTGCCTTGGAGAAGGGCCAATGTTGCTGTTATGGGCAAACTGCACAATCCAAGGGATACCACAGAAGAAGGGGATGGTAAAGCACTTCTCTCTCTCTCAATCTCTATCTCTTCTGCCTCTAACTCCCTCTCTCTCACTCTTGACTCTTGACTGACTTGACTCCGCCTTTTAACCTCTCTCTCTCTCTCTCTCTCTCTCTCGGCTCCGCCTCTCCACCGTATTTGCCTAGAACATGAATAATACATGAGTTATTTTGCATAACAAAAGGGTGAACGCTATACCATCCTTTTAAAAAATAGCATTTGTGACAGTGTGACCTACAACAAGAAGATTACCATAAATATAAGGCAGTGTGGGGAGCTACATTTATATGAATACTCCTTTGGCCTGTGGTTGTTTTCAGTCCAGACAGCACTGCTGTGGTTTAGGTATCTGGATGCAGAGCCAGAGGTTAGGGGTTTGATTCCCCAACTGTGCCTTGGAGAAGGGCCAATGTCATGGGCAAACTGCACAATCCAAGGGATCCCACAGAAGAAGGGGATGGTAAAGCATTTCTGTGTACAGTATTCCTTACCTAGAAAACCCTGGAAAGGGTTGCCATAAGTCAGAACTGACTTGACAGCACGCAATTATTATTAGACAGCACTAGCTATAGGCCCCTGAATCTGAAAGTATCTTTAAACATTGCTAAGAATCTTGCATAATCGTGATATATACTGCAGTCCTTCAGCTGTCATGGATTATCATGTTACAACTTGAACTGTTGACAGTGGTCATGCTGGTTTGGGGATAATGAGAGTGGCAGTTCCAACATATGTGGACGTCGTCAGATGAGGGTGAGGGAACCTGGGGCACAGAATTTGCTGTTAGCAGGAGGAGGCCCATGTCCAAATATTTCAGCTTTCCTTACAGAAAACAGAATTGCCAACTTACCGGAAAGGAATGGCTGAGCCGGCTCTTGTGCATTTAACAGTCTTTTGCTCTACTGAGATCAGCAAATTAAGCTTTGCATGGTAGGCATGATGGGAAGCATTCCCACCACCTAACAAATAAAATTTGCAGGTCAGGATTGTCCTTAAGAGATGCAGGAGAAAAGGGTACTAAAAAGTGCATTCCCTTTTCCAGTCCAGCATACTGGACAGATGTGGTTCTATAGAGATACATTCAAATCAAATCAAATCAATTTATTGTCATCGTAAGTATATACATAGTATACCCATACAACAAAATTCACACAGGCACCTAGAGACCAGACCCACATGCACACACATAAAAAAATCCACCAAACACTCACCACCCACTAAAAATTCATTAGCTCTGGGCATTCCAGGTGTATTAGCTAGAACTTTCACCATCTCCAGCTACAGGAGGATAATGGCAATTGCAGTCTATCACATCTGGAGGGCATTCAGTTTGGGAATTTCATTTAGGAACACAGTAGGGTAGCAAAAACTATTACCAGGGCAGCAAATTCTGTTATTATTATTATTACTGTCCCTGAGCAGGCTTTGGGAGATGATCAGATCTAGGAAGTAACTAATTCTAGGTAGTTACTTCCTAGCTCTGTAGTTATTTTTAATACTTCCTAACTCTAGGTAGTTACTTTTAGGTAATGGTTAATAGAACCAGTAGTTACAGAGTTACCTTGTAGGTGAATGGAGTAAGTTAAATAATAGTAATAGATAAAACGTTCAGAAGTTACTTTTCAAGGGCTTTAAAGACATTTGGGGGAGCTGGCTGGATAGCTTAGTGCTTTAGGTATCTGGCTGCAGAAGCAGCTGTTGGGAGCTCGATCTCCCACGATAATTCCTGTGAGTAGAGCCAGCCTGCGTAGCCTTGGGCAAGCTGCACAGTCCCAGGGCTGTCCTAGAAGAAAGGAATGATGAACCACTTCTGAGTATTCAGTACCTAGAATACCCATAACCCAGTACTGGTTTGACAGCACATTATTATTATTTCTAGAGACATTTGGACAAGCATTATCAATACAAAGGAAAATGTTCTTTAGTTTTGTCTCTTATGTCTTTATAGGTATTTCTGAGGACAATATGAGAATTGACCAGAAGAGCAAGCAGAGAATATTTCTGTATACTTTTTCTGGCCTGTTGGTAACCACAAGGGAACAATTTGGTTGCTGAGAAATACTGATAAACAAATTCCTTTTAAACTTTAAGTCACCAAACTCTAGAAATCGTCATGGTCTAACCTCATGTTTGCTATCTGGGATGTTTTCTGTCTCTAATCTAGCTTTGTTAGTTTCCTTTGCTGTGCTGAAACTTCTGCAGAAGAAGGGAGGGACAGAGAATTTCCAAATTTAAACCACCCGCTAACTGTTAAAATGTCAAACTACTGTAAACATAACTTACTTGCTCCAGTCTATAAGCTCATGTTATTTTTTTGATCGATGTGTAAAGTAGCAGAAATGAGCAAGTGAAGATTAACAAGAAATTATTTTGGCGTGATACTGTCATTCCTGCTCTCAGAGAAAAGTCAAGGAATCTAGCAGGTTCTTAAATTACACTCCCTGGAGAAATACTGTTGAGCCACATCAAGTCCCAGTCAGAAATAGAAATAAATCCACATGGTACATGGACTATTTTCTAAGATCTGTCAGATTCTGTATGGTTTCAAGGGAGAGCTAGCAAGCATTGGCTAAAATCCTATTCCACAGTTACACAAATTACATAAGTTTTGGATGTGACTTACTGTGTTAGAAAATTTCCTCAGGCATTATCTGCTGCACATGAGTCATGCAACTCACTATGCTAGAGATGTCTACAGAGATTTCTTAACTTACGGCAATTCACTTCCAGAATTTATGCTATTTTTCCAACTATGCACCAGGATTCCAGCCTTTACTTGTGTAGACCAGAGGTCGTCAACCTCCGGTCCGCAGCCTGGTGCCAGTCTGAGGCCTGAGGTGGACCGGGCCTCAGAGACAGATCTCCTGCCCCCCTTAGGGGTGTACTCACTTTTGTTCCATGGGGTTTAGAGATTAATAGCTTTGTGTTGCGTTATTTTCAGGGCACAGCACTTTACACTGTTATACAAGCTGCATACTCACTGCTTTACATTGTAGCCAAGCTTCATTTTTTCAGTGTTGTCACATGAAAAGATATACTAAAATATTTATGAAATATGAGGGGCTGTACTCAATTCCGTGATATACTGTATATTACTGTGAGTCCTCAGAGGCATTGCGTATGATTCAGAATTTCATAATAACAACATACACAAACAAGGTAGACATGATTTGGGTGGACCGTAGGACTGCTCTACTGTAACAGACTTAACCTGCCTACCTGTATGGAAATGTTTATCTTATATCCAGAATGCATCATGCAAAAGGCAGGACTGAATGAACCCCAAGGCGGAATTAAGATTGCTGGAAGAAATATCACCAACTTCAGATATGCAGAGGATACCACTCAGATGGCAGAAAGTGAGGAGGAATTAAGGAACCTTGTAATGAGGGTGAAAGAGGACAGTGCAAAAAATGGTCGGAAGCTCTACATTGGAGAGTGCAAAAAATGGTCTGAAGCTCGACATAAAAAACCCCTAAGATCATGGCCATTGATCTCATCACGTCCTGGCAAACAGAAGGGGAAGATATGGAGGCAGTGACAGATTTTACTTTCTTGGGCTCCATGATCACTGCAGATGGTGACAGCATCCATGAAATTAAAATACGCCTGCTTCTTGGGAGGAATGCGATGACAAACCTAGACAGCATCTTAAAAAGCAGAGTCATCACCTTGCCGACAATGGTCCGCATAGTCAAAGCTATGGTTTTTCCAGTACTGTAGTGATGTATGGAAGTGAGAGCTGGACCATAAAGAATGCTGATCGATGAAAAATTGATGCTTTTGAATTGTGGTGCTGGAGAAGACTCTTGAGAGTCACCTGGACTGCAAGGAGAACAAAATTATCCATTCTAAAGGAAATCAACCCTGGGTGCTCACTGGAAAGACAGATCCTGAAACTGAAGCTCCAATACTTTGGCCATCTCATGAGACGAAAAGATCCTGATGTTGGGAAAATGTGAGGGCAAGAAGAGAAGGGGACGACAGACAGTGCCACCAAAGCTTCCAACATGAATTTAACTAAACTCCGGGAGATAGTGGAAGACAGGAGGGCCTGGCATGCTCTGGTCCATGGAGTCACAAAGAGTTGGACACGACTTAATAACTAAATAAAAACAACATGGAAATATTGATGTTACCCTAAAAAAAAATTATTGAGAAGATGCACTAGAAGCCAATGTGAGATTCAGAGTTCTAAATAGCATAATACAATATATAGTTATCTAAAAGCAGAAAGTCCTGATTATTTACTTTTCTATACATGCTATTGGAAAACACCAGCCAAAAGGTCATGAGCATTTCACTTATTTTGATACCGATAGTCAAACAACATTGTTTCTTAGAAGAAATATGCTGGGAAAAATTAAAAGCCATAATGGCTGCGCTACTGCTTCTGATCTTTTCTTTGTTCTTTCTCTCCAGCGTGAATGCATCTCTGTTCATGTTGGTCAAGCTGGAGTTCAGATCGGCAACGCATGCTGGGAGCTTTTCTGCCTGGAGCATGGCATTCAGCCCGATGGCACTTTCCAGAATCAGCCCAACAAGTTTAACGATGATGACTCTTTCACCACGTTCTTCAGTGAAACACGCACGGGGAAACATGTGCCGCGAGCTGTTATGGTGGATCTAGAACCCACAGTAGTAGGTGAGTGGGTTAATTAGCAATGGCAAGTACAAAGGAGCCTGTTTGAAAGAAACGAGTGCTGGGAAGAAGACAGAGGCAATGGCAGACAAGACTCTCGTACCATTAACAGCTGTAAATAGAGCAAACATGTATTAATAGTTGTAATTTGCCATGCAAAACGGGGGCAGGGGGACATCTGTTAGAACTCCACCAGTGCAACTACAAAGTAGAACTATTGATGAAGGAAGTTACTTTTTTGCATTACATCCTTCAGAATATCCTCATCAATTGACATGCTGACTGGGATATTCTGGGAGTAATTACCCCACCCCAGGAACTTTCCCCACCTCTTGAGTAAAAACACTCCTACACATCTGTGAAAACTACCCAAAAATTTGTGTTTCTACTGCAGGAACGGTGTATAACGAAACCCTTGGATTTACAAGGTTAATATTTCCTTGTAGCTCTTTAGTTTTTATCTCATTCCTGCCATAAACATATACAGAGTTTGCTTTTGTAGCTCCAGTTTGGATGAACAGACCAGAGGAAGCTTATCTTCCTTGTTACTGATCATCCAAACAGCCATGAAACCTAGCTCTTTTCCCCCCCAGGTTGTGTGAATTTTCTCATTAAAGATACAACCTATATTAGAGTGGGATGTGGTGGCGCAGTCCTGATTATTTACTTTTCTATACATGCTATTGGAAAACACCAGCCAAAACGTCATGAGCATTTCACTTATTTTGATACCGATAGTCAAGCAACATTGTTTCTTAGAAGGAATATGCTGGGAAAAATTAAAAGCCATAATGGCTGCGCTACTGCTTCTGATCTTTTCTTTGTTCTTTCTCTCCAGCGTGAATGCATCTCTGTTCATGTTGGTCAAGCTGGAGTTCAGATCGGCAACGCATGCTGGGAGCTTTTCTGCCTGGAGCATGGCATTCAGCCCGATGGCACTTTCCAGAATCAGCCCAACAAGTTTAACGATGATGACTCTTTCACCACGTTCTTCAGTGAAACACGCACGGGGAAACATGTGCCGCGAGCTGTTATGGTGGATCTAGAACCCACAGTAGTAGGTGAGTGGGTTAATTAGCAATGGCAAGTACAAAGGAGCCTGTTTGAAAGAAACGAGTGCTGGGAAGAAGACAGAGGCAATGGCAGACAAGACTCTCGTACCATTAACAGCTGTAAATAGAGCAAACATGTATTAATAGTTGTAATTTGCCATGCAAAACGGGGGCAGGGGGACATCTGTTAGAACTCCACCAGTGCAACTACAAAGTAGAACTATTGATGAAGGAAGTTACTTTTTTGCATTACATCCTTCAGAATATCCTCATCAATTGACATGCTGACTGGGATATTCTGGGAGTAATTACCCCACCCCAGGAACTTTCCCCACCTCTTGAGTAAAAACACTCCTACACATCTGTGAAAACTACCCAAAAATTTGTGTTTCTACTGCAGGAACGGTGTATAACGAAACCCTTGGATTTACAAGGTTAATATTTCCTTGTAGCTCTTTAGTTTTTATCTCATTCCTGCCATAAACATATACAGAGTTTGCTTTTGTAGCTCCAGTTTGGATGAACAGACCAGAGGAAGCTTATCTTCCTTGTTACTGATCATCCAAACAACCATGAAACCTAGCTCTTTCCCCCCAGGTTGTGTGAATTTTCTCATTAAAGAGACAGCCTATGTTAAAGTGGGACGCAGTGGAGCTGCGGGTTAAACTGCAAAGCCTCTGGGCTGCAAGGTCAAAAGATCAGCAGTTCCAATCTACACCACGAAGTGAGCTCCCGTCCGAGCTCTGGTCAAAAGACCAGCAGTTCGAATCCACGCCACGGAGTGCGCTCCTGTCCGAGCTCTTGCCAACCTAGCAGTTTGAAAGCATGTAAAAATGCAAGTAAATAGGTACCACCACAATGGGAAGGTAATGGCACAGTGGGAAGGAAAGAAGGGGTTAATTAATATGAATTATATAATATCTATGATATGATTTCTATGATAATTAATATGAACTGTATAGGTGCAGTAGCACTATATCCAGTATGTGTGTGAGAAAGATATTGCAGGAAACAAGTATCAACCGAACGTACCATAGTTAATTTTGGTATGGTAGTAGCCTATAGGGACGTGGTGGCGCTGCGGGCTAAACCGCAGAAGCCTGTGCTGCAGGGTCAGAAGACCAAGCAGTCGTAAGATCGAATCCACACGACGGAGTGAGCTCCTGTCGCTTGTCCCAGCTCCCGCCAACCTAGCGGTTCGAAAGCATGCAAATGCAAGTAGATCAATAGGGACCACCTTGGTTGGAAGGTAACAGCGTTCGATGTCTAAGTTGCACTGGCCATGTGACCACAGAAGATTGTCTTCGGTCGAACGCTGGCTCTGTGGCTTGGAAATGGGGATGAGCACCGCCCCCTAGAGTCGAACACGACTGGACAGAAAGTTGTCAAGGGGAACCTTTACCTTAGTGGCCTATTGATATTGTGCTACCAGCCTTAACCCTCTTATGCCTCTGAAATTTAGTTTTTGCCAGGGATGTGTAAGTTCTCTAGATGCTGGACTTCAGCTCCCATCATCCCTAACCAGTATAGCCAATAGTGAAGGAGGATTAAAATTGCAGTTCAGCAATATCTGGAATAGAGATTGAGAAGTTACTTTGAAGAAGAATGAATTTGTGGATATATTTAAGCCTTTCACAACTGAGCAGATTTAGGATGATGCTCTGGATATCAGATACCACCACTCTATTCTGGATGGTTTCAGTCTGTCATTGGATTAATTTCTCTTCAGAGTAATTTTACAAACTCTTATCTAAAAGTTTGCAAACTTTCCTTCTCAGGTTTAGACTATCAGGAACCAGCTGAGGCTGTATTAGGCACATGAATGTGCCTAATACTGTGGAGAAACAGTTGAGGAGGTAGCTGCAGAATTTAAAGGTGATCAAGTGTTTTCTTTTCAAATACACATTTCTGTCTCCCTGCCCCACAAAGAAACAAAACAAAACAAAACATTCAGTTGCAAATTAATCCTGTCCTCCTATCTCTTGCCTCCCAACTACCCAGCCAAAAGCAAACTAATTTGCAGCTTATAGTTAGGAGGAAAAGATGTCTTTCAGCTCTTAAGAGAGTTCTGTTTCTGTCTTGTCTGGGTTTTTACACCAGCATATTTTCTAGATTCAGCCTAGGAGGAGCAATATGATTTTTTTAAAACCATAAGGTTCATATGGACCACACTTACAGCATCATTTCTAAGGTTTTCCATTGAACACATTAATAAAATTGAAGGATGTCCATAAAAGATATAGTCAATATATGTGTTTTACTTTTGCTAACAGATGAAGTGCGGGCTGGAACGTACCGCCAGCTTTTCCACCCTGAACAGCTGATTACTGGCAAGGAAGATGCAGCTAATAATTATGCCCGAGGCCACTACACCATTGGCAAAGAAAGCATTGATATTGTATTGGATCGTATTCGCAAACTGGTCAGTAGAAATAATGTAGCTGTTATGATGGTCTGGGAGCTGAAAGGGGTAGACATTCAGAGTGCTAGAAATTCTTATTTTAATACACCTCTTTCTACAATGGGTGGTAGCGTCTTTCTAGTAGTCCCAGATGCAGCTGGTCTACTCAAGCAAGAGGTTACATGATAAAACATTGTAGAGTGAATAATTTCTGGATGTAGATTGGGATCATACATTTAAATGCTCCAACATGGAATAATAAATCTCTACACAGAGATGTTAGTGTGCAGCAGACGGAGAGCTGGAATATTTCCTTTGACCACTGAGTTTTCTCTACATAGCTGGCTGTATAACTCAGTGGGTTGGAGCAACTGACTGTGGAGCCCCAGTGTGACTTCTGGAAGAAAAGCCAAGCCTTGAGCAAGCTGCATAATTCCTGAGCACCCGCATAAGGAGGGACTGGTGAACCACTTCAGAGTACTCTGACCTAGATAACCCCAGGGAAGGTTCATGATAACTCAGAATAGTACTGAAGGGAAAAAGCTGATCCCACAGCTATAAATATTCAACTATCCAAACAAATTGCACCAGAGTACAGACAGAGTTCTGACTCCTGTCCTCTGAAGATGCCGGCCACAGAGAATGCACCAGAGCACAGACAGAGTTCTGACTTCTGTCCTCTGATGATGCCGGCCACAGAGACTGGTGAAACCTTAGGAAGAACAGCCTTTAGAACAGTGGTCCCCAACCTTGGGCCTCCAGATATTCTTGGACTACAACTCCCAGAAGCCTTCACCACCACCTCTGCTGGCCAGGATTTCTGGGCCTTGAAGTCCAAGAACATCTGGAGGCCCAAGGTTGGAGACCACTGCTTTAGAACACAGCCAAACAGCCCGAAAAACCCACAACAACCATCAGTACTGTTGTTGTTGCTATATGTAGGGATTTTCATTTTAATACATTGGAGCATTTAGTCATGAGACCCCTTACCGTCAGTCTGGATTTCCAGTGTTTGAGAATGATTTTACTATGTGATTCGATATTTGTTTAAAACGTATGTTTTGTTGTTGGTCTTTTGGCCTATTAAAAAAATTCAAATGTTCCCAGGTTTTTTATTCCAAAACATAATTAAAGAGATTTCAAAACAGTTTAGATTCTTTATTGTAAAAATGATACCTGGAAATGCTTCTTGTGTGATTCACTGTTAATAATATTTCACTTTTCAGACTGACGCCTGCTCTGGACTACAAGGATTCCTGATTTTCCACAGCTTTGGAGGAGGCACAGGTTCAGGCTTTACCTCCTTGCTGATGGAGCGCCTCTCTGTGGACTATGGCAAGAAGTCCAAACTGGAATTTGCCATCTATCCGGCCCCACAGGTTTCCACGGCTGTGGTGGAGCCCTACAATTCCATCCTGACCACCCACACGACCTTGGAGCATTCCGACTGTGCCTTCATGGTGGACAACGAGGCCATCTACGACATCTGTCGGCGCAATTTGGACATTGAGCGCCCCACTTACACCAACCTGAACCGCCTCATCAGCCAGATCGTTTCCTCCATCACCGCTTCCCTGCGCTTTGATGGTGCCCTCAACGTAGACCTGACGGAGTTCCAGACGAACCTGGTGCCCTACCCTCGCATCCACTTCCCGCTGGTGACCTATGCGCCCATCATCTCCTCCGAGAGGGCCTACCACGAGCAGCTCTCTGTGGCCGAGATCACCAGCTCTTGCTTTGAGCCCAACAACCAGATGGTGAAATGTGACCCTCGCCATGGGAAGTACATGGCCTGCTGCATGCTCTACCGTGGCGATGTGGTGCCCAAAGATGTGAATGTAGCCATTGCTGGTATCAAGACCAAGAGAGCAATCCAGTTTGTGGACTGGTGCCCAACTGGCTTCAAGGTGAGCACAGAGAAAGTTATTCACTCTTTTATAGGACTCCACCTTTAAAGCTCTCAGTGCAGCAAATATTAGCGATAGGCAGATCTGCTGTTATTGTTGGTAGAGATGGTGGTTCATCTTGGTTGATGAACCGATTCATGTAAACTCACAGTTTGTGGTTCGTGATGAACCACCAACCACTAAACTGGTGGTTCATCTTGGTTGGTGGTTCATCATGAACCACAAACTGTGAATTTACATGAATCGGTCCGTCAGTTCCTGGGGTGTATTTTTAGACAGCCTGTGTCTGTCTGAAAAAAAAGCTGAGCCCCCCTGCCCTCACAGCCTGCCCCCGCCCCCTCCCCATTTCTCCCATCACCTCCATACCTTGTCCTACTGCCTCAGCTGCCATCTTCGCCATTGTCATCTCCACTGCCATCGCCATCTTTGCAGATGGCAGTGCTGACTTCTATTCTCGCACTCTGGCCTTCTATCACTGCCTATTATGTGGCCCTCTGTGTGAAAAGTTTGGAGACCCCCCTGAACAAGAGTATAGGCAGAGAAGGAAGGCTGGGCTGCCAGAATGGTGGCTTCTGTTCTGGCAGTCTAGCTTGTTCTCTCTGCCTATTGGCCTGCTAATCAGCTTTTTAATGGGTGCATAGGCAGAGAGAGAAGGCTAGGCTGACAGAAAGGAAGCTACCATTCTGTCAGCCTAACCTTCCCTTTCTGCCTATGGGGACAAATAAAAACCAGGCAAATATTTGTCCCTTCATATTTATTGGGGTCTCTGAAATTGACAAATATGTAGTGATGAATATTCCACAAATCAGATATTTTCTACAAATATCGTGATTCTTTTTTTACTGTGATGATTAGGATTCCCCATGTGGTTTAATGGATAGAGTGATGGCCTAGGACTCAGGAGAACAGGGTTTGAATCCCTGCTTGGCCATGGAAACTCACTGGGGGAGTAGAACTGCTAAAAAGCACTCCTTAAATGTCTCACTTACCTTGAAAGCCCTATTAGGCTCACTGCAAGTTGGTTCTGACTTGATGGCACAGAACACACACAAAGAATGAGAACTACAACTCAGCTCAGAGGAAACAGGGACAAATTAAGGGGTGACATATTATGTCATAGTTGTTGCTAAGGGTGTTCATCCTGTGAGTTGTGGCTCCAGTATAGCATAGAGCACAAGGCAGCTTCCTGTGTACAGTGGTGCCTCGCTTAGCGAGTGCTTCGCTATGCGATGAATTCGCATAGCGAGGGGGTCCGGGCCATCGCTGGAGCGTTCGCTCAGCGATGGCCCCTATAGCGTTTTTTCGCTTTGCGATGATCGCTAAGCAATTTGCTTAGCGATTTTCGCAGAGCAAAGCGGGGAGAACAGCTGATCGGCGGTTCCAAAATGGCCGCCAGAAGGTCCGCGCCACATTTTCGCACCCTGCCCTCGCTTACCGAGGCCGCGAAAATGGCGGCGCTATGGAAAAACATCGCTTAACGGTGAGTTTTAAAGCCATAGGAACGCACAGAACGAAGTGCAATGAGTTTCTATAGCTTTTTTATTCCCGTTTAGCGATGTTTTCGCATAGCGAAGGTTAATCTGGAACGGATTAACCTCGCTATGCGAGGCACCACTGTACTTATTTCATGATTCCACCACAATCTTCAAGGAGCTACCTGTATTTGCTACTAGATGGAAGCAGGCTGCTAACATTTCACCCATCACGATTCACAATGTCGCCATCCAGGTATCTTTCCTTGCCCATTTTATCAAGTGCTACATGTTTTCCCCTCTGAATTTCTATTTCTTCAATAATCTTTAACCTTCTTCTTTCTTCCAGGTTGGCATCAACTACCAGCCCCCCACAGTAGTCCCGGGAGGGGACCTTGCTCAAGTGCAACGTGCCGTTTGTATGCTCAGCAACACCACAGCCATTGCAGAGGCCTGGGCAAGGCTGGACCACAAATTTGACCTGATGTTTGCCAAGCGAGCTTTTGTGCACTGGTATGTTGGTGAAGGCATGGAGGAAGGAGAATTTGCTGAGGCCCGGGAAGATTTAGCTGCACTGGAAAAAGACTATGAAGAAGTAGGAACCGACTCCTTTGAGGATGAAAATGATGGGGAAGAATTTTAAAACTGCAGGTTGTCCTGGCCGAGGATGAAGAGGTTCCTTGGCAGCTGTTCATTGCACTCAGATGTAGTGCACCAGACCTTTTGCTGTACAGCTTCTGTTCATTGGTTGGAAACAGAAGAGGAAAGAAGAGAAGATGTACAGCAGAATGGTCTGGTACATTGCATCCTATATCCATCCTGCAGCATATGTGAAAATTAGAACATCAACTTGAGAAGCTATACCCTGTGATTTCTTTTCCTATGCCATTTATTATAAGAAAGTCCATTCTGCTACATCCCTAGCTGTTGTAGCTCAGGGACAGCTTTGCATGCAGAAGGTCACGCAGGTTTAAATCCTGCTGCCTCTGGGCAGAACTAGGAACGATTCCTGCTTGAAACCCTTGAGAAGCATTATTACAAAACACAGTTGACCATGCTGCCTAGATGGACCAACAATCTGATCTAGTGCAAGGCAGTTTCCTATGTACTCTCAGCAGGCCAAGCAAAATTAAGATGGATGTTAACATCACTGTGTTCTAAAGTGGGCTGCTTATATTTATATTAGAGATTGGGGATTCGTCTTCATAGACAAAGCCGAATCGCAGGTGGCCAGCCCAATTTGTACCCACCAGTCCACTTACCATGCAGTGCGCAGCACACCAAGTAGCATGACTGGCCACAGTAGCATGGCCACTCAACGGCTGAGTGGGGAGATCTGTCCTCCCGCCCCCTTGCCAGAGTGGCCGGCCGAGCAGGGAGGTGGGTTTGCAGCAGCCGGGCTACTACTGCAATTGGTGCGCTGATGATGATGCTGGCCAGGCACACTGCTCAGTAAGTCAACCAACAGGTTCTGGGGTGCATTTGTAAATTGGGCTGGCCACCTGTGTCAGTGGGATTTGTCTTCATCTACAAAGACAAATCCCACATCTCTAATATATATACTACCCCATAAAGCTGAAAGATCTCTCTGGGTGGTTTATAATGTAATTATGCAAGCTACACATTCCCCCTCCTCAGCAAGCAGGGTACTCAGTTTACCAGTTGTGGAAGGATGGAAGGCGGAGTGAACCTTGAGCTGGCTACCTGGGATTTAACTTGGGCTGTGAACAGAGTTTTGGCTGCAGTACTGCAGTTTAATTGCTGGGCCATGAGGCTCCTCTCTGTTAAAGGGCAGGTTTTCAACCTTTTCCTGCCAGCCTAGCAATTCGAAAGCATGCAAATGCAAGTAGATAAATAGGTACCACCTTGGTGGGAAGGTAACGGCATTCCATGTCTAAGTCGCACTGGCCACGTGACCATGGGAACTGTCTTTGGACAAACGCTAGCTCTACAGCTTGGAAGCAGGGTTGAGCACCACCCCCTGGAGTCGGACATGACTGGACTAACTGTCAAGCAGAACCTGAACCTTTACCTTTCAACCTTTGGTCCTTCAAACTTGTTGAACTTCAGCTCCCAGAAGCCTCAGCCAGCACAGCCAAGGATTGGGCTTTCTGGGAATCAAAGTTTCAAACAGTTGGAATGTCAAAAGTTGAGATGGGCACTCATCTTAGTTCGGATGTTTGTGCCGGTTCATACGCACTGCACCACAGGTGCTGCATGTTTCCTTCCTCCATCTCCCCAGTTGGATCCCCCATTCATCAGCTGGCACATGCTCCTCTCCTCCTCTTCCTCAAATGTTTGACCAGTCTCCGGTAAGAGCATGAGCTGATCACCCACTCAGACAAGGAGGCAGAAAAGGCCATCTATGCTCCTACCGGGTACTGGTCTAACAGCTGAAGAGGAGGAGAGGAGTGCGCACCAACTGGTGAATGGGTGAGTGGCCAGGGAGGCTGGGAAAGGAAATGCTTGGCTATATGTATGAACTGGCACGGATCCCTGAACAGACGTTCGTGGTAGTTGAGAAGCAGGATTCTAGAACAGCAGTGGGCAAAGTACAATGGGGACTGCCAGCCGGTCTCTGGATGAACTGTAGGACAGTGCTAAGGATTTCTGGCTCCCAATATTTGGTTTTTTAAATAATGCCAGCAACAAATGAATATGAACTAATTTAAAGTGGACTGTTGTGTGAAAAGGTGATGAGCTCTTGTTCAGTTTCAGCACTCTGAATGATTTCTTGTATTTGGGTTTCTCTAATTCTACATACTGAATATTTCTATGACATCCAGCTCTACTTATTGGTTTCTAGAAGAAAAACAAAGTCAAACCCCTACAGGTCTGAAATTTGCCTACACATCTTCTAGAGCAGTGGTCCTTAGAAGAAAAACAAAGTCAAACCCCTACAGGTCTGAAATTTGCCTACACATCTTCTAGAGGACCTTGGCAGCACCAGAAACAGGGGTGATAGTACTCCTTAGTTATCTGGCAACATTTCCAGGGTTTTCTAGGTACTTAGAAGTGGTTGACCATTCCCTTCTTCCGGGGGTGCCCTGGGACTGTGCAGCCTGCCCAAGGCCACACAGGCTGGCTCTTCTCCCAGGAGACACAGTGGAGAACTGAACTCTAAGTCTCTGGCTCTGCAACCACATACCTAAACCACTGAGATCTCCAACCAGTTCAGTACTCCTTAACAGCACATAATTTTCAGCAGTCCCTAAACTCCAGACCTAGAGTCAAGAACTGCATGGCAAGGGAGCCAAAATGGGCAGTGCCAAGGAAAAACACAGGAAGATGGTGTTAAATCTTAGCAAGTGCTCATGGGAAACAAAGGCTGCACACTTTTCTTGGATCTTCCCCACTCAGTGGACTTGCTAGATGAATCTAGCCTTGTAAAAAGTTACTTTCTTTGGACTACATCTCCCAGAATTTCTCAGACATTGGTTAGCTCAGTAGTTGAGGTTCTGGTTATGGAGCCAGAGGTTGGGGATTTGATTCCCCACTGTGCCTCCTTGACAGGAGCTGGACTTGATTATCCATAGGGTCCCTTCCAAGCTCTGCAGTTCTAAGATGGTGATGAGGATGATTTTCCCAGCTAGGGGATTCTGGGAACTCTGATCCAAAAAATTACTTTCCCAAACTCGGGGGGGGGGGATAAAGCTGAACATTCAGGTCGGTGAGCCCTGATTTCCGCATTGCCCAAGCCCTGGAGAGCCTGATTTTCTAGCAACTATTCCTTATTTTGCCTTTTCAAGAACTTTAGAAAGGATGTTGGGTCTTCTGTTGTTGTCATATGGCACTCAGAGGTGCTGGGCTTCCTGTTTCAGCTATGTCCCCTTGGTTTTGTAGAAGTCAAAATGCTGAGAAAGGACATAGAAGGTTCTTGGCTTTAATGCAGTGGTCCCCAACCTTGGGCCTCCAGATGTTCTTGGCCTACAACTCCCAGAAGCCTTCAGCAATACCTCTGCTGGCCAGGATTTCTGGGAGTTGAAGCCCAAGAACATCTGGGGGCCCAAGGTTGGGGACCACTGCTTTAATGTACATGTATGTAAATTTATGGTCTAAATGTGGAGTGAATGCAAAATGCTCATGGACTCCCTCCCTTCCTTTCCCATTCTCTCCTAGCCATCTATCCAAAGAGTCAGTGTCACTAAATGGGTTTGAACTGCAGCTATTTTTTTTAAGAACACCCAAGTCCACCAGATTAAACATTGCAAAGAAGTAGAAACAGTTTGTTCACACACACAGTGTGTCCGAACCAAATACCCCCCCCGATTCCTGCATTGAACAAGGAGTTGGATTCGGTGGCCCCTTCTAACTCAATTATTCTACGATTTTAACCTTTATTTGCTCTTCCTTTAGTGCAGGCATGATGTCTGGGGGAGGCTTGGAATTGTGGTCCACAAAAGTAACTTTTCCAGCTCTGAGATGCATCTACACTCTTCAGATATCTGGTGGAGAGGTTGAGTTTCTCCACACAGGTCTCAAAAGGTAAACGGCACCTCTGAAAAAGATTTGCCCCATGAAGGAACTATATATACTTTCCCCTATGTTTGCTTTTTAAAGGTTATATGATCTATATTTTTAAAATGAAATTGAGTCAAAGGTGATCCTGCTGAGCAGTTTTCACATTTATTACACATTTGTGGTGCTGGAGGAGGCTCTTGAGAGTCCCCTGGACTGCAAAGAGAACAAACCTATCCATTCTAAAAGAAATCAACCCTGAGTGCTCACTGGAAGGACAGATCCTGAAGCTGAGGCTCCAATACTTTGGCCATCTCATGAGAAGAGAAGACTCCCTGGAAAAGACTCTGATGTGTGAAGTGTGAAGGCAAGAGGAGAAGGGGACGACCAAGGATGAGATGGTTGGACAGTGCCACCGAAGCTACCAACATGAATTTGACCCAACTCCGGGAGGCAGTGGAAAACAGGAGGGCCTGCCGTGCTCTGGTCCACGGGGTCACAAAGAGTCAGACACGACTTAACGACTAAACAACAACAACAATACCTTTAAAGGCAGAGATGATCTAATCCTTTTGTTCTAAGCCTAACGATGGAATGGATAGCAGTGGTTTATGTTCAGTGGCTTTCTGATGTTTTAATAGTCCAAAGGTACCACACAGACACAGACATTATTGTTGTGTGCCATCTCATGTTGGAATTGAGTTATCACAACCCTAATAGCACTTTCAAGCTTATGTGTAAGGAGTGGATTACCCACTTCCACTTCCAACTTCCCATGAGTTTCCATGGCTAAGCAACCGAAACTTCCTGGGTTCCAGGACATCATTCAATCCACACAGCCCTTACACGTCCCCTTTTCAACAGAGGGGCTACTCTGCTTTTTTTAATAAACAAGAACAAAACTTGCCCTCCTAACTCACCACACTAGATTATTGTTTGCCAAGCTCTCTTCATGCAGCCTTGCCAAGACTTCAGCACAGCAGATGATGGAAATTGCCTAGGCTGAGCTCCTCCCCTCCTGTAACTTTGGTTTATATTTGCTTTCCTGACATGCCACAGCCAAGAAATGAAACTTAAACAAGTTATGTTGGGTGTGGTCTCCGTGAGCTGAGGTTATCTCACAGCCCAGGGATTCGGCCACAAAACTCCAACAATGGAACTCCAGTGGATAAGGAGAAAGAGAGCATCAAGGAATCCTTATACTGGATCAGTGTTAGATAATACTCTGCATGAGTTCTGTCTTCAGAAATCCACTGGTGCTTGGGAACTCATCAAATTTCAAGAAACCATGGGCTGATCTCAAAGAAAAAGCGCTGCAGGATCAATACCACTCTAGAAACATCTTTCTTCTTTTGACTGCAATCCTAAATGCATTTTTATGAGGGACTTCTCAGTGATGTTCCCCCTAAACATCCTTTAAGGAGAGTAAGGTCAAGGGTCATTGCTCCTGTGTTACGTAAGACCTAGGCAGCTACAGTATATGTGTTGCAAGCAAGCCTAGTATGATTTTTCAGGATGCTCGTAATATAAGCCCTACCCCAAAAATAAGCCCCAGTTAAGTGAAATCCGGCCCTCTATCACTGTGCAGCAACAGAAGAAGATGACATGGCTGTATTTGAATAAATGTAGATTGTTGTACATGAAAAAAACAAAATATCCCCTGAAATAAGCCCTAATGCATTTTTGGAGCAAAAATTAATATAAGACTGTGACGGACACTCTCTCATCCACACTTTATTTACGCTGCCACCAACCACTCCTTCATAAGACTCATCGCAGCCGTCACAAAGACCCTGTCTTATTTTTTGGGAAACATGGTAGTAGGGTTGCCAAATTCCAGAAATACTTGGGATTTCCCTGTTGCTGTGCCTTTTAAAATACTGTAATAGCAACTTGTTTTGCAGCAGGTCAAGCTTTCACAACAAGGAGAGAAATATTTTCCCCTTCTGAATGTCCACAAATCCAACCAATATTAATAGTGTAGGGTTTTCTTTTTTTAAAATGGGAAGATGTGCGCAGAAGTGCTCAGAACCTGAACTTCTTATACAATCTCGGGGATAAGACCGGTTCGGAATATACAGCTCCGTATTTCTGTGCCTGAAAAAATATGGACCTTATTTTATATTATTTATAGAATACAATTGATTTCTTCCATATTCCTCATGTAACAATCAAATGCAGAGAGTGTCATCCTTATGCAGATAAGACACGAGGAAGTCTAGCCATGCAGAAACATGATTTGATGAACAAAGGTTCATACGCTCAGAGGCACTTCTCCACAGTATATTTGTGAAAAGAAAAATTCCAATATCCACACTAGCAGTGCTGGCCTAAGCATGTTTAGTCAATAGTAAATCATGCTAATTGCGATGTTGCCAACTAATCTTAGCAGTCTCTTGCAGGCATGGGCAGAAAGCAGAGCAAGACTTACTGGTAGATCAGTGGTCAATTTACAAATTGGTAAAACTGCTGGATTCCTTTTGTAAAAACAAAAAATAAGAAAATACTCATTTCCCTTCTTATTAGACAGTAGGTTTTTGCTAGAGAAGAGTCCCCACTGGATTGGTTGCTCAAGTCAACACTCAGGTAAAACCCACTGAACCAGACAGGAAACAGCATGGTGGCCAGATTAAGATAATGATAGATTTCCTGAGGCTTTAATAGTTGTGTGAATAAAGACATTCCAAGAGGTGTGGTGTGTATTAAAAGTTGCACCTACAAAGATGTCCTCTTCTAAGCAACTATTAAAAGTACGTACAAAAATTCTATCGTCTTTTTTTCATCTGGGCACTCTTAAAATGGATTAATTTTAAATATAATGCCGGCGAAGAGCTTTACGGGCGCCATGGACTGCCAGAAAGACAAAGAAGTGGGTCCTAGATCAAATGAAACCTGAACTCTCCCTAGAAGCAAAAAAAAAATGACCAAACTTGGGGCTGTAATACTTGGGGCACATCATGAGACAGCAAGATTCACTGGAAAAGAAAAGAATGCTAAGAAAAGTTGAAAGCAGCAGGAGAAGAAGCCAAGTATGTGAGATGGATTCAGTCCATAAAAGAAGCCATGGATGGCCTTGAGTTTATAAGACCCGAGCAGGGCTTTTAATGACAGGATACTATGGCAGTCAGTCTCTCACTTCAACACCTAATAGCACCACTCAGGCAAGTGGCAGAGAAATATTTTTCTGCCCAGAGAAAACACCTTGTAAGAGAAGAAAATGCACATATGCCTTAACTTGCAATCTAACTGGATAAGGGGTTAAACCAGCACATGCTTTTTTTCTTCTTCATAATTTGGAAGCTTTCTCTCTCTCTTTATTTAAACCAGTGGTCAGGGAACAGGGGTAAATTACCCCAAATGGTGTAAAAATGAAAATTCTGGGGGTAATGAGGATGAGCAGAGCCCCAATATTGATGCTCCCATATCCAAGATGAAGCAACATCATTTCTCCAAAACCTGAAGTTTTCAATTAAGTTGAAGCTTTCAAAGTAATTTTGAATAGATTCAATAAGATTTTGAATTCAAATAATGTATGATTTCCTTCCTTTCAAATCAAGGGGGTAATGTTGGTGTATATAAATTATTTTTTTTTAGGGGGGGTAAAAGGTATAAAAGTTCTCTGATCCCTGTTTTAAACAATTCCAAGAACGTCCTAGCTAGGCGATTCTTGGCGTTCTGGAGTCGTGGCAAAAAAGTAACGTTTCCAATTACTTCCATGTCCCGTCCCGGAACGCTTTATCTCCGTTCCTGGGGGCGGCGACCGTCCCTCAGCATTTTCCCCCGCGCCCCGAGTTCGAAGCTTCGATCCCTCTAACGCGCCAAGCGTGCCCGGGAATCGCCGTAGGGAAGAGATCGCACGCAACCTGTGGAGAACAAACACGGATCTTTCCGCGTAACGGGCGGGCGTGTCGAGGTTGGAAGATGAAACGGGTCTGCCAGAGAGGGAGGAGGGGCTGGGCTGCCTGCCTGGCGGGCGGGCGGCAGTTAAGTTTCACTTTCCATGGCGCTCTCCTCGCCTGGGAAACGAAAACTCGGCCGGGCTCCCTCTAGCCGGGAGGGAGCGCTCGGCTGTCAAAAGCAGAGCGCCGTCGACCGCGGAGCCGGGCTGTTCCTTTGCCACCGTCGCGGAACCGGAGTGGAAGTGGAGGGAAGCAGGGCACCTCTCCCCTCAGCTCGCAGTAAGTGCCCGCCAGCATTGCCTTGGGTTCGAAACGTGCGCCTTTGCTCTTCTTTGGGTTTTCAAACCGCTCTGGTTGGGGGACCTTTGGAGGGCGTTTCGCGCATCTGGTTTCTGAGATAAAACGTCGCTTCTTGTCAGTCGGAGGAAGAGAAAACGGGAGGTTTTGACCCGTTTGCAAAAACTGAACGTGAGGAGCGTCTATTTATTTTATTTTATTGTTCGATTTATACCTCGCCCCTCTAGACAGAGTCTAGCTCTTATTTACGAAGTGCATCCTAGGGAACAAAAATAAGTTCGTAAATCCTAAATGGTCCTATGCAAGCTTCTTTTCTGAAGGTGAAAATGATTGTAGATTTTTTTTTTTTTAAAGGTATGGAGGTGTCTTCTCACATAACTCATAACCTTTGGTGTGTTTCTGGGAAAGGGAAGGCTGCTCCCATTTAAAGGTCTGCCTTCATCTCCCGTCCTTTTTGACTCATGGATCTGCCCAAGTTAAAAAAATAAATAAATCAAGGTATGGAAAATTTGTGGTATTTTGCAAACCATAAAATGCGTTCAGTCCTGAGAATCCAAACATATTTAATGGGAAATTTATCTCTCTCCTGACCTTCAAATAAAAAAAATGATCAGGAGGAATTATTACAATGAAAGTATCCAGTGTTGTTGTTTTTAAATATCATCGTACTGGAATCCTCAGGGCATTCCATAAACTAAAAAAAATACTGGAATGAGGTTTTGTGACATCAAATCAGAATGCACTTACGGCAACCATAATGGGACTTTCAAGGTAAGTGAGATAGTTACGGAATGATTTTGCAAGTTTCGCACCTCTAGTGAGCTTCTATTTGTTGATGGACTTTGATGTGGAAGGTAAGACCTTGAACCACTGGGTTCAAATAACAAGGAAAAACAATGTTGACAGGATGTGAGGAAGAATATCCTGAGGCGTACAAGTTGTGTAGAAGAGAGGGAACAGAAGACGCTTCTTTATTAAGAGGTTTTTAGGTAGAGGTTGATGGCCACCGATCAGAGATGCTGTTGTAGTCAGATCTGCTGTATCATTAGGATGTTGGATTAGATTACCTCTTTTGGCTTTTTTCTCAAAATAGTTCAACCACTGCAAGACAAATCTCCATAAAAAAGGAGAAGCATTTGACCACTGGTTTACCTGATAAAATAAAACATTTTTAGAAAAAGGGATCAATTATTAAACTGCCCTTCTATTGGCTAGATCCCAACCTTACCACCACAGAATCTCTGAACTTGGAAGAACCTTGGTCTTCTTCAATTCCCCACCTCCTTACAGTGAAAATCAATTATTCACCCAGTTTCTGTTCCTGAAATGGACAATTATTGTGTGCTCTTGAGCTATGAAGGGAAACTCATTTCTCCTGACTTCCTTGTCCAAAAGCCACAGCTTAGGGACCTTCCTTAAATACGTGGTCATGTTGGCTTGGAGATATTTCTGGGAGTTGTAGTACAAAAACAAACTTTTCCAAGCCCTGATCTAGAGACACGGAACCTACTATTGTTTGGGAATAAAGCAACTGGGTTTTTGTCTTCTTGTGTTGCACAGTGCGATTAATGGGTCAAGGATTTGGACGGGCAGAGAGAAGGAGGTCACTCAAGCTGGACGAGTATCAAAGGATGGCAGTCCAAACAGAGGAAGAGGAGGAGGAGGAGAAATGTGCAGAGAATATCACAGCAAAATGCAAAGAGCAGCTGAAAGCAATCTGGGGAATGGCTGATTTAAGAAACGGTACTGCTTATTTCCGCTTTTTCTTCACTTTGAAGGATTTGGACGGGCAGAGAGAAGGAGGTCACTCAAGCTGGACGAGTATCAAAGGATGGCAGTCCAAACAGAGGAAGAGGAGGAGGAGGAGAAATGTGCAGAGAATATCACAGCAAAATGCAAAGAGCAGCTGAAAGCAATCTGGGGAATGGCTGATTTAAGAAACGGTACTGCTTATTTCTGCTTTTTGTTAACTTTGGTACCGTAGTTATTGTTGCTTCTGTTAAATTCTGTTTCCTTTGTCTTCATTTTGTGTGAGTGACATCCATTGGGGGGGGGACATTTATCCATGAATAGACAACACCATTGCATGCGTATGTTATGTGCCGTTGAGTCAGAACAAACTTATAGCAATCCTAGTAGGACTTTCAAGAACAGTGAGATATTTAAGGAGTGGATTTAGCAGTGCCCCCTGCGCCCCATTAGCTTCCATGGCTGAGTAGGGATTTGAACTCGAATCTCCTGAATCCTAGTCCGTCACTTTATCCATTACATTGCACTGCATATTACAGTATGAATTGTATCTGGCTAGGATAACCAGTGGAAAAGGAGAACAGGGTTCCTGTAGTTTTAATCGGTGTATGGGGGGAATTTCCAAGTATAAAAATGCTGCACCAGCTGAAATTTTGTCTTCCAAGCAACTATTAAAGCTGCAGCACCCTAGATTTGCCCCCGCATCATCCTCTGTTGCCCCCAAATCTGCAGCTGTGCCACTGCCAATAGAAATACCCTGTTGTAATTTCACACTTGTCGCAGCTGTCATACAAACAGTATTTTCGACCCTGCTTTCCCTGTGAGGAAAGAGGATGCTCTGCCCTGCCAGTCCACAGGACTCGGTGGTATGGGAGGGTACTCTGGCACCCTCCTGCACCAGAGAGGACCATTTGGGTTGCCACGAGATATTGGTGGCCCTAGCCAGATCCTTGGTTTGAGCCACCAAATTTAAGCAGTGGGTGGTATAACCCCTGAGGAGTCGAGGGCAGTGGGAGGGCTGCATTTACCTACTCACCCCTTCTGTAGACTTCAAGTTGGTTTTCTGTTCCAATCCCAGAAGCTCTTTTCTGGTTTGTTTGTTCTCATAGTCCTGTTTCTGGAGATTTTTAGAGGGAAATTGTGGTAGTGTTTAGCATCCAGTGAAGCTGAAGCCCAAAACATCTGGAGGGCCAAAGTATCCCTTCTCTCCTAAATCAAGACTGAATATACGCAAATCTGATTGTGTTTATGCTTACATTTTATTTACATCAGGCAAAAACAAAAGCAAATTTTAAAAATTGCCATGTTCACTTCAGTTATCCATACTCAGGGGTACACACAGAATTGTGTAATTTGACCCTATGTTTACATGGAAGTAATTACTGGCAGCAGTCAAAATGGGACTTCGTTCAGAGTCAGTTTGTGCAGGACTGTCGCTTTAAATCTGTATTTTATTTCCTCCCTTTGTCAAAGATGCATTTTCTGTATTTTGTCTCTTGCCTTCAGGGGCTGTCGGCTTGTACAATATTGGCTTAAGCTGTTGCCTCAACTCTTTGCTTCAAGTGTTCTTCATGAACAGACACTTCACTATGATTCTCCGGAGGTGAGTGGAGAGAGAGCACAGAGTCTGGTCTCACATTTCTGACTGAAGTTGCATTGATTTCCTGAAACCAAATTGGAGGTTAGATCTGGCTTTGCGTAGTGGTTTGAAAGACTGGTTTTAGGAGCTGGGAAGACTTCTTCATTCAGCTTTTCTCCAGAGTGACTAAAGAGAAAAGGGACAGGTCCCCAATTTATTATGCTTGGTGGCTGAGGAGATGGGGCAGCTGACTCTTCAGTTTAATTCACTAATTAGGAGTGGTGCATGGTTAAGGAAAAATTTTCCTCCTCATTTTTCCTTGGGAGGAAATGGCTCTGGAAGTGTTGATTACAGGAAGTAAGCTTTGGCCATATCTGCCTGACTTTCAACTGAAAATCCTTTTGTTTGGGTAATATATGGGTTGGACCTGTCAGCCAGCTTTGCCAAAGAGACTTGCAGTTTTAGAGGTGTGGATCCTAAGGGCTGTTTAGCATGGGAATAATCTAACCTTTACAGAGCTATTGTAGTATATGGTATGCATTGAATGCCCAGAAGTTTCCTATACATTTATCTGAGATATTTTTCTATGGCTATTCATTTTTGAAAAATTGCAAAGCAGTTTATGACGCTTCTAAAAACCTAGGAGAGACAATCAAATGACAGCGGGGAGGGGGGGAACAGGGACAAAACAATAAATCTGGAACCTATGTTATTAAAATCACATTTACTATATGGTGTATAGCTAGTTAAAATATGAATACTGTAGCTAAGTAGAATATTTATTTATTTTATTTAAAATATTTTTACCCTGCCTTTCTCCTTCAGAAGACCCAAGGTGGGTCCACTGAACTTGTAACTACAGCTCAGCGTTCTCATGCCATGTTCATTCACAGAGTAAACTTCAGAGTAATAAATATATTTTATCCTCATCTCTTCTTGACTTCTGCACAAAAGAAGGGTTGTTGTGATAAGACTATAGAAAGGAGGTGGAGAGCTATGCCTGTACTTTGAGCTCATGAGAGGAAATGAGCAGTAAAACATACAAAAAGTAAATAACCAAAATCAGCTCTAGTCTACCACAGACTTTTTTTATTTTCAGCTGTTTTATTAAGTGGGAGAAGGGGGGGGTTACAATAGGACCACAGTATTTGCAGGGGTTAGTTCCAAGCCCCACCCCATGGATGATGGAAAATGTAGAGGTATCCATTCGAATGCTATGCATTGTATGGTTTTTGGCATCCTCTAGTGGCCAGTCCTGGTCAATACACCTTGGAAATGAATAGAAAATAGGGATGTCTGAGGGGTTTATTTGGTATTTTCAGCCAGTGGATAATCAGCAGATACTGATCCCACAGATGATTACTACTTTTTGTTATGTGTCATCAAGGCACCTCCAATCCATGGCAACCCTATGCATGAGGGACTTCAGCAAACCCCTGGCAGAGATCATCCAGAGTTTTGAAGTGAGAGGTTTGGGTTCAGATTTTTTTCACCTTGACTATTAAGTGTGGTTGTTGTTTCTGTTCTTTCTTGTGAAGAATTGAAGTGCCTTTTGATGCTGCCGAGCAGAAGGCAAGTGTCCCCTACCAAATGCTGCTGCTCTTGGAGGAGATGCAGAGAAGCAAACAGAAGTCTGTGCATCCCACGGATCTTGCCTGCTGTCTCTCAAAGCACAACGTGAGATGTAAGGAGCAACTGCAGGCATTCTGTTCTCACTGGGAAAAGTAATTTGGAGGGAATCCTCATTGGATAAGGAGCAACTGCAGGCATTCTGTTCTCATTGGGAAAAGTAATTTGGAAGGAATCCTCGTTGGATTTATATTCATTTGCCCCCATATTACTTAGGAATAAAGGAATAGGTGACCTGATGATCAATGGGGGGGGGGGAGAAACCCATACAGTGTTGGCGCATGATTGGGTTCTTGGCTAGTAATAATGTACAGAGAATTGGAAGTTGGAAAGTTACAGTGGTGGAATTGGGTGAGATAAATGAGAATTCAGGAGCCAACAAAATTACTGAATATGCTAAATGTTGATTTAACTTCTGCTTTTTCCTAGTGTTTGTTCTGTATGATGCGGCTCAGCTTTTCTTGATCCTATGGAATATAATTAAGGACCAAATTACAAGCGTAGATCTGGTAAGAATCTTGAATTGGCAAAGTAAAACATGCCTCAAATGCTCTTGGACTAAAACTCCCAGAAGCCTTCATCACATGGGGTGCTGGCCAAGATTTCTGGGGGTTGTAGTCCAGAACCACCTGGGGACCTAAGGTTGGGAATCACTGGTTTAGATTATAGCAGTGGTTCTCTACCCTGGGTAACCTAGGTGTTCTTGGGCTGCAATTCCCAGAAGCCTTCACCACTAGCTGTGCTGACTTGGGTCTCTGAACGTTGCAGTCCAAGAACACCACCAAGGCAGAAAATCAGTACTGTAGACTATAATATCCAGACTCCCAGCCAGATTGTCCAAATTTTTGCTCAGATTTATTTATTTATTTATTTATTTATTTATTTGATTTTTACCCCGCCCCTCTAGACAATGTCTACTCTCTAGCTTGTTCCTTGATATATATGGTGATCAATATTATATTTACTTATTTGTGATACGTCTAGTTATTGAAGGTTAATTTTTTATATTTCAATTTAAATACATGCTTTAAATTTTAAAGTGAAGTAGTTACTTAAAAATTAATAGGCTCAACATCTTTAAAAAATGAAAGAATAAAACAACTAAACGCTACATTAATCAACATGGATAAGACATCTGTAAGTTTTGCTTTTTCCTACATTTGAATTTTTTTTTTAAATCACCAGTTCTTCCATCCTGAACATGAAGAAATACTTTATATTTTATAAAGTCTTCCAAAACTAATGCAAACAGATTCCTCCCTCTGTCCCATTTGTACTAGGGAAATTCAACAGCTGCAGCTGTTCTCAGCATGAAGAGTTGTGTTTTGTACTCTTCATGTTGGGCTTCAGCTGGTTGCTGTTGGCCGTGGTTCATCTTAAAGGAGAGTCTGTGTTACCAGGATTGGCATCTAAAGTTCCATTTTAAAAGGAACTTTTCAGAAAAATAGGTCACTGGAACAAATCCTAGAAATCCTTAGTTTCTTTTCTAAAGCATGCTGTTTGTTTCCCTGCTGACTTGAGGCTTCTCGCCAGAAGCTCTTGACCAATGGAAATGATCTTTAAGGGAAAGTACCATTGTGCTAAAGTTTACTCCTAGGACAAACCCTGGAAGAAAACAAACTGTTCCTTGAAGAAGGAAGGAAAAACTCTCAAACACAGTAAGGCATGGGTTTTTGCCAGTGCTGTTACTCAAACAAGCCTCATGTGGGTGGCAAGAAAATACCAATAACACCAATGGTAAATGAAGGTACAATATAGAGAACAAGTGCTCTGTCTGGGAGAGCCAAATGATGGGAAGAAAACAAGGTGCTGGCTTTAAGTCAACAGTAAAATGTTTCGACAAAGAAGGACTCTGGCCCAAAAACCTGAAGTTGTATCCTGATTTCCAGCGAGACTGCACTCAATGCCCTTTCTCTGGATGAATGATTATCACATTGTTTCCAGAATTCAGATTTTTTTTAAATCTCTGAATCTTGGGCTTTGAGATTCTCCTTCATCACAGAAGGGACAGGAGCCTGTCACACATACATGGGCATGTTTTTTTTGGAAATTTTGGGGGTTTTTTGTACACACTGTGGTCTCTGGTGGTCAGCCCGATGAAGACACATAGGGGGTTGAAAGCTAGCTTATAGTTGTAAATTTTTTAGGGGTCTAATGAAGGTAATGCTTACCTTTGCATTTGAGGTGATAAAGGATCTGGAAACCAAGTCCTATGAAGAACAGTTAAGAGAATTTGTCATGTTGAGCCCGGAAAAGAGAAGATCAAGAGGCAATGCCGTAGCTGTCTTCAGATCTATAAACATCTATTAGATGGAAGAGCATGTGTGGTTTTCTCTGATGTTGCAGAGAATGGGACCCAATACAGTGAATTCAAATAGAAAAGATATTTTGACTAATTATTAAAAGAAACTTCCTGATGGTTAAAGCCATTTGATGGTGGAACAAATCACCTTTGAAGGTGGTGGACTGTCATTCTTTGAAGGGTCTTTAAACAGAGACTAGATGGCTGTCTGCCAGAAATGGCTTACTTGTGGAGTAAATGGCATTCGGATTCTTTCTAATTCTGCAAAGTTAGGATTCTGTGGTTAAAGTCTGTGGAATGGAGGATTCTGTTGTTACACAGGGAACTGGGTTAAATGGCTTTCCCTTCTTACTGTGGATTGGTACCATCTTGCGATCTATGTGTAAAGTCATATCAGAAGCCATGCATCTGTTGAAGTTATTATGCAATAACACAGAACAGAATGGTCATTCAGTTCCTTAATCTTCTCTCCTCTGTCCATTCCTTCTAAGGCTGAAAGTTTAACTCTCCTGTACACCATCCAGCTGCAAGAGTACACAGTGTGTCAAAACTGTTTGCTTGAAATGAAGAAGGACAGCAACATGCTGATGCTCCCACTCCCAATGTTTGATTCTGATTCTCAGCCACTTAGGACACTGGTATGTCTGTAGTGTTCTCTAATATAGGGGTTGCAGCTCAGCTTCTAATGTGGCACCCTGTCCAATGAGGTGGACAGGGTGCTTGCCCGCTGTCGTGCCACCACATTGTTGCTGATATTATTGTTTGTTGTTGTTTAGTCGTTAAGTCGTGTCCTACTCTTCGTGACCCCATGTTGTTGTTAGCCACCCAGAATGGCCTGGTCGCCAGATGGTGCGGGATATAAATTCAATAAATAAATAATAAGTATATATCCTGTTCTATAGTGGGCATGCATCTATTCCAAATATAGAAAGAAAGCAAAGATCTTGCTGAGCAGAGGCAATAACAGAGCTTGTTAAAGTTAGATTTGGAGACAATAACTCCCAGAATCCCACAGCCAGCATGGTGGCCATGCTGACTCATGGGTTCTGGGTGGTATAACTACAAAATGTAACTTTTCTATGCTGTACCCCGAAGCGTGTGGAAAAAACTGCAGAAGCCAAAGCTCCTAAGATAAAATTATCTTGGAAAGAGAGAGTTGAAGGAGAGCAGATTTAAGAGTTGATATGTTAGCTGAGAAGGAAATAGAGTCTAGGTGTATTTGGAAAAATGATACCCATCATTCCTGACCAGCATGGGGGGCGTTCTGGTCCAAAAGTTCTGAAGGGCACCAAGCAGGTGTTGCAGAGTTTTGCATTTTGGTTAAATTCCTCTAGCTGCACAGGGATTTACAGAGCAGAATAGCCTCATGTTCCCCAGAGCAGCCCACTCCTTTTCTCTCATAACTTACAGTCGCAATAACTCAGCGACATTTGTGAGAGAAATAATAAAACATTTCATTACTTCCAATTGAACAGATCGAACAGCAAATGGACAAACACGACTGCTTTCAGCAATAAACTTCAACAGACTCTGCCTGTCAAATGATAACAGAGATGGCAAAATATTTAGCAGAGAGGCAGGGCTTTCTTGGAACTCAAAAGCAGGAGGGAACCTGGATAGATTGACAGTCACCCAAACCCAGAAAAGTCCCTCCCAGCCAAACCTACTAAAGGCAGCATGTAAGATTGCAATAACTCCAACAGCAAGGGACATGGGTTGATAATTTGGCTTAAAACGGAAGAAATGTGGAGGAGTTTGAGATTAAAAGGACTTAATCTCTGTTCTTTCCTTTTTAAAATGCCTTCCCGTATTTCTAGGAAGGTGCATTGCATGCGTTTTTTGCACTGGAGCTACTGACCGAAGGAAGTGCATGCCGCTGTGAGCAGTGTGATAGGAGAACGTCGTGGCTGCGGGTAAGAGTATGTTTTTAAGGAAGGGTTGCCATATTTCTCTGGAATGCTGCTTCTTGGCACTCCATGTCATTTCCATTTTAGGACAAGACTGACTATTTTAAAGATATTTATACCTTAGCCTCATTCTTGAAGAATTCATAAGATAGCATTATCGCTGCTGCCAAATGCATTCTTTAAATGAGGCCACTGATGTACATTTGCTGAATTCAGGACCAGAGCAGAGAAAGTTCCTTGG